CCTCTATAATTGAAAATTTATAATTGAATATAGCTGTGCCTGATAGGCGATAGTGGCTTACTTGACAGTCTTTTATTAACAGTCAATAATTTTGAGAAGAACCTTTTAATTAGCTTTCCAGTAAGTGTACAAAGTGTCCGGTTTTAGTTATAAAATTTGTAGGAATTACAAGCACTGGACCGGAAAGAATGTCTGTAATAATTGCGATAGAAATCTATGTAAAGGTTACAATAACTTTATTATTCATTGCTTTGAATGTGAAAAAAACAAACAAAAAAAAAACGACAAAAAAAAAACAAAAACAAAAAAACAAAACAAAACAAAAAAAACTGTTGATAAAATACAAAGAGGAATCAGCAATATTATTGGTTCTGACCTAGCATCTCGGTTTCATTCACTTTTCCACGGCTGTAAAGTATCTTCCCTGTGCTTTTTCAATAAATATTTTCGTGGTAATTCTTCTGATAAGTTTTCCTCTTTGGTACCAAGAGTTTATGAATTTAAGTGCAGTACTAGATTGGCAGTTAGGTCTCATCATTCTACAGTTGAAATTGTTAGATATGACCTTAAGTTCTATTCTAATAGTATCTTCTCTCCTGCAGAAATCTCTTCCGGCTTCTTGTTTTCCAATCAAATTGGATCTACAAAAGTTTAAATGCAGTGCCAATTGTTGTCTTAGTGACTTTATTGTTTTGCTTATGGTGATATGGCTAACAATATTATTGGCATTGTCAATTAAGATCGGTGTGTGGCTTTGGGGAATTTCTCCGCACGAGGGTTTCCTTCTCGCAAAGATGTGTCTTACTTCACGGCTGGAGAGTTTATATATTTTCCTGTTAACCGGTTTTCACACGGCTGCATATTCTTATGCTCAACTGGGTCGGCCATCTGTTTACATGTCTGGAGTCACAACTGACATAGTGTGAGGTGCCAATCTGCGTATGAGGTCAACTTCCATGTCAATCCTCAGATATATCTGGGGGAAGTTTTAAGGGGGATGGAACCACCACTTAATTGATGTTGTTCCCAGGTCCACCCTGACCCAGGTGGTAGCAAATAGTGAACCCCCAAACAGGTGTCAAAATATAAAAATATATTAGAAAAAAAATTACCAGTAAAACAAAGACGCCGTAGATTTGTTTTTTCCCTTTATTTTTCTAAGTACTTTCAATCTCATTCAAGATCATCTTCATCTTTTATTAATTTTTTATCTAATTTTTCCGCCGTTCTTATATTTTTTTCATTTAGGAGTAAAAAAAACTGTTCATATCGTTTATTGTGCCAAACATTTTCGGCCACTTCTTTAGCCATTTTCAAGGTGATTTTGATTTAGTGTTGTTAGTTACTTTTCGTGTTTTGTCTGTGTAGAAGCGTTAATTAATAACAAAATATAAAAAAGTTTCCTTGTCTGTTATATTTAACGAAAGATGTTTAAAAGAATGGTTGCTACCCAAATATACATTAATATATGTATGTATATATGGTAATATTAGGCGTTTCCTCATAGGGAAACATTCACAGTTCATTCACCTAGCGACCAGTGCTACTGTCGGTTGAAATTAATAAAATCTTTCTTTTAAAACAATTTTAAGGAAAATAGGTTTTCCAATTCTGTTATCGCACTTTCTACCCCAATGGAAATATTCATTGATTGATTAGTTTTCTAGCTGCAAGCGACATGTCTTTGATGATATAAATTAGCTCTAATTTACCATTTAAATGTTTAATATTCATATAAATATATATATATATATATATATATATATATATATATATATAAAAAGAGAGAAAAGAGAGATGGTAAAAGTAATATTAGCCGTTTTATATATATATATATATATATATATATATATATATATATTTGTGATTAAAAACAAGAGGCAAAAATCTATTCTTAGCCGACGCGTTTCGTCCTCCGAGGACATGATAAAGTCCTTCGAAAGACGAAACGCATCGGCTAAGAATAGATTTTGCCTCTTGCTTTTTATTCATTTTGTTCCTTTGAAGATACACTCTATCTGAAAATAATTTCCGCATACACACACAGACGCAGACACACACAGACATATATATATATATATATATATATATATATATATATATATATATATATATATGCAAGCTTCATTAAATATGATAGACAAGGGGCTTTGATTAGGGTTTTTATATTATTTCTCATATGATCTTACAAATTTTTCTTTTCCGTAGATAAATATGCAAAAACTGTCCAAATGTTTTATGTTTCCAATGTTTTATTATACCTTTAGCCATTACCAAGGAAGAAGTGTCTTTACTGTCAATTGGAAATGGATTGCTGTGTGCATATATGTAGCATTATAGAATGTTTAATTTTCAAAACCCGGTCAATATATTGTGTCCATGTTCATAGTTGATATTACTGAGTGTTTTTTTTTTGTTTTTATTAATAAGGCTTCCATTATTTTTAGCCTTTTGTACATGTAGACGATGCTATTATATTTGTAGTATCAACAAGTATGTTGCGAATAGGGTCCGGCAGGTCTACATGAATATTTAAATGAGATCTAATTGAGCTATGGTCAGAAAAGTGTAGTGTTAATCTTCGTGTCAAACACGTTATTGTATGGCTTATATAATTGTTTAAGAATTTTGATTGATCAGGAACACAATTCCTCAATGGACATTTAAATTCGTAATTTGTCCTATTTAATTTTGATCTAAGAGGTGAATTATTATTTTTAACTATAAGGTTGGCTGTTTTAAATTTTTTGTTATAAATAATTAGTCTAACTTTTTGCTATTGTCTACTGGTGTTGAGCATTTTTTATAATGTTCATAAGTCTAGTTTCATCTTGATTGTAATTATCGTTCATCTGGTTTTTATAAAAAATATTGATACTATTCTTTATGTTTCTATTCCCATTCAGAGAGAAAAAGCCTAATATGGAAATCCAACAATTGATTTGGAAATCCGTTATTAAACTCCCATTGTTAGACGTTCTTGTTGAGTTTAGTAATAATACATTTACAACTTCAGTTTATAAAAAAAAAAAAACAGTAGTAAAGATTCTTGCCATCATAATTTCGCTAGTGAATACTCCCTTAGGTATAAAATAGGTGTTATTAAAATTTTCCTCAAGGGGGGCGGGGGTATTTATTCTGAACAATATAAAATTGTGGCACAAGGCCAAGGGGAGGAAATGGGGAGGGACGGTTTTCATTAGCTATCCTAGTCCTAGTTAATCCAACTCACGACCCATTTATTCATAACAATTTACTTATTCACCACAAGAACTCATCCATCACCTCTCAATCCTGCATATACCACAATACCGCATATTCACAGGCGATCTACAAAATATCCCATGACATAAAAATTTAAAAAGTCAAGAAATTTTGAAAATTTCCTCAAGAGAGCGCACGAGAATTCATCCTCTTGCACGCTTTTCTTTAAAGAATTAAATAACGTTAAACAAACGCTTATCAATAACAGATTTTCAAATCATGATAGAAGAAACTTTGCGATAGAAGAAACTTTTAGCATAGAACATACGGTTGCATCTAGCCATTTCAACTGTAAAATAACTGGACCTTGCCACCAATCTATCACTACACTTAAATTCATAAAGTCTACGTACCATAGTAAGTAGAAAGTTCATCAGAACAATTACCATGTATATATTTATAGAAAAGGCACAGGTTACAGCGGTGAGAAAGTGACTAAAGCTGAGACGCTAGGTCATTTTTCCTACTATTTAATCCATAGCTGGAGGATGAGGTGGATTCATACATTTTCTAAGTGCAATTGCGCGCAAGCGAATGCATCGTTTTCTCCTTCCGAGCCGCTATCATTTACTCTAGCCGTCGTCAGCAGAAACCTCCAAGTTTTTGTAAAATCGAAATAAAACAGAAAATTTCTTTTGCCGACTTAAGAGCCCATACATGTTTAATTTATGAAGAACACATTTTTTTTTTTATAATTAAAGGGCTATATTTTACGATGACTTGTCTTTTTGTATTTTTTAGGTTAATTACTAACTGATTTCAATCGATACTTCAAACAAAAGAAGACTCACTAATGTTTTAATACTAAAATGACTTCAGCCGGAATTCTTTTTCAGCCATTTGTGAACACAACTAGATATGGACAAAATTCCGTAACCAATCCAGCTATTGGTGAATGAATTCGAGTTATGAATCAATTCCCAGATCAAGACCTTGTTTCATCAAAAGATCAACACCCGATGTAAATCTGATTTCAAATCTTGGTTAATTTTGTTTAGCGGCACATCAACATTTACATGGGTTATTTAATGTCGAAATCCAAATATTTTGATTAGTTTGGTTGATATCAATACTTCAGTCATTTATGTGCCATGCGTGATACACGCTTAGGCGATCATGTATCTTTTCAGAAACAAAGGCAGATTTTTTTTTCCCGCAGTAGGTTTCCATTTCTTTCTACGGTGGACCAGTTGCCATCCAAGGCTATAGGACCCGGAGAGAAGAAGAGGATTCATCCCTTTCCCAAGGTATTAAGTGCTAATACCCTTGAATTCGAACTCGGCTCTCCGATTCCTCAATCCGAGCCGCTATCCATTACTCCACCGTGCCTTCTCTATCAACACTTGCATAGGTTATTTAATGCTGAAATCTAAATATGTTGATTGGTTTAGTTGTTTTTGGTTAGCGTCATATCAACACCTCTATGGGTTATTTAATGCCGAAACCTAAATATTTTCTTTGGTTTGGTTGTTTTTATTTTTAGAGGCATATTAACTCCTCTATGGGCTATTTAATGCCGAAATCTAAATATTGTATACGCAATTTTATTTATTCATTTTTAGCGATACAAGTCTTACTAATTAACCTGTAGCTGGGAAAAGAAAAGAGGTGGATTCATACCTTTCCCAATGGTATTTGTGCGTAAGTGAATATAACGAACCCAACTGCAATTGGAACCTGGCTCTCTGATTGACAAATCCGAGTCATTATCCATTAAACCACCCGCACATCCAATCTTACAACACCTGGTATCCACGAGCGGTAACCGATCTAAATACTCTCCAGGCTCTACATTGCTTAACTTCGGTGATCGTACAGGAACAGGCGTTTGATATGGTCGTAAACCTCACTCTTGTTGGGTTAACCCTTCTCTGGTACTGCCATCACTTCCTTCTTTTCTGGCCATATTGGGTCATGCGGTGCCGAGGTATCGGGTCAGTTAGGCTCACCATCTTTGTCTCTAGTTCTTTTCCACTGCCTTGGTGTCCATTTTAACGCTCTAATAGTCCACTCGTTGTCTGTGAGACAACAGACGTAGTCAACCTCTGTTTGTCATTCTTGATGGTCTTGATTATGTCCTTCAGTCCAGTCTGCTGTCGAATCCATATACTGCTCTTCCGGTCACGTCAGGCGATGCTGAGCATAATTTGCTCCATTTTACGTTGGGTCACTGCAAGAGTCTCTGCCTTGGTGGTGTAGAGCGTCCATCCCTCACTTCCATAAGTCATTACCAGTGGAACATCTTCATTAAACAACTTTCTCTTGGTTTTCGATTGCTGACTTGGGACTTCTCTTGAAGTTATAAAGTTTTCCAAAATCCACCCAGCCAAACACAATCCTTCATTTGACCACCGGAAGTAGAGCGCCAACACGTTCAATCTTCTTTTCGCAGTACACATAACTGTCTGCTTCCTTGAGGGTCTTTACATATACAATAACTGGTGATGACTTAGCGTGGCAGTTTAACATCATTTTCAATTACACATAGTCTTAATTTGACTTCCATTGTCCACAGAGTAATATTAATTAGACTTTGATGCCTCGGGTTTTTAAACAAGATTAGCTTTATAAGATAAATCACTTCTCTTTCTCCATATTTTTCTTTTTTTTTTCTTCTTCCCCAATCTTTCATTCTCATTCTCTCTTCACATTAGTGTTTTATTTTTCTATAGTTTTCTGTCTCTTTTTCTTTCTCTTTGTAACAAAAATTTTTATATACACTGATTACTATAAAAACCTTAATTTTATTTTTATTTTTAAAAAAATCATTTCAAGCCAAGTAAAGCAATAAAAAACACTGCAAGGGGTCACTGAGTATGAAAGAAGCAGAGTGGGCAGTAAAAGAACTGAATTCAATATCCGTTATATATGTAATCATTAGAGTGAATGAAAGTTTTTATCTATCTTTTAATAAATTCTATCCGTTATATACGTAATCATTAGACTGAATGAAAGTTTTGACTTATTTGTTTAATATATCATATATCATATATATATATATATAATTTATTAGTATGAATGAATGAAGGTATTTGTTTATTAAATCACTTTGCATATATATGTAATCATTAGACTGAATGTACGATTTGATGTTTTTAGTAAATTGTTTTCCGTTATATATTTAACCATTAGATTACATTAAAGTTTTGATGTATTTGTTTAATACATCTTATCCGTTACATATGTAATCTTTCTAGTGAATGGAAGATTTGATGGCTTGCCCCAAACATAACAAAAGCACAGTTTTATCGTCAAAATATTTATGTTACTAAGAGAAAAGACCAAAGAAATTTTGGTTATTAAATTAATTTTTTTTGTTCTTTTTAAAAACATTCGACATCTTGGTTAATCTTATTTTTCTTGCGTCTGCGGTGCGACCAAATATTAGTAAATGTTAACGACTTTGTTGCGATGAAAAATGCACTGACTTGGAAATTCTTGCAAAAAGCAAATAATTGTATGATTTTAATGAAACTTTCAGGAATTATTCACAAAATAATTAGATTATTTTAGAAATGTTTCTTTTTTAGAAAATATTGGTAAAAACATTTGTTTTTAAGTCTGTTACATCCCCACTAAATTAAATTTATGAATTTCGAGTATTTAATTTTTGTACTGCTTAATGTTTATATTTCTTATTCGCAGAGATCCTTGCAGAGTTTAAATCATCAATTATCGAAAATCTGCTCTGAATCGTAAAATAAAAAAATACAATAAAACTAAGACATTATTTAATTAGAAAAGCTTTTAATTGCTTTTATGGATAAGATATATTACGGATACTATTTTCTTAAAAAAGTTTTTTGACGAATAATGAATTTTCAGAATTGTTTTCAGTTTTTTAAATTTAAAAAAATAATAATTTTTGAAAACTTTTAAATTTATATACATAAATTTAAAAGTTTTCAAACTTTATAAATTATTTCAATTTGTAAATTATTAATTTGTAATGATTAGTGATAATTTTTATATAGTAAAAATATATTTACTAATCATAAATGGAAAAAGCTTACTGTAATTCATTGGCCCTAATATTTTAAAAGGAATTTTGAATTTTTTTTTGCATGTATAAATTTTCTAAAATTTCTAAATACGGACGTCCATACATGCCATTATCAGAATGTAAGAGTGATAACTATACTAAATTTAAAGACAAATTACCTAAAATTCAATAAAACTTTAGCTTACGGAGAATGTTTTGCTAATCTTTTAAGATTACCGGATAGTCAAAAATTATATAAAAATGGTGCTCACGTTATATTCCTTTATGTAATATTTACAGATATGTCTACCACTGAAAAAAAAAAACAAACCAAAAATACTTCTGTCTTTTGGTCAAGCTGTCAACAGCTTAAATAAACAGCTACCACCGTGTTAAAAAATGCATTTCTGTGATATTTTAAACTTCAAGTAAATAATATTTGCTTCAAATCAGATTAATTAAGATTTAAATCAGGTAATATTTCTTAAATAAAGTCTCAGAAAATATATTTTATTTCGAAATATTATTTTTAATAAAGAGAATTACATTGAGAGTACAGATGGCTAAAAATGGTACTAATATCAATGATTTTAGCAATTTCAAAAGAAAAATTCGCTCCGGTTAATTTAAATTAGTTTTTGAAATGCAACAAAGCTTTTGCTTATTGGAAATATTAAATTTAATCTATTAGCTTAAAATTAAAACTAAAATAAAAGCTTCAAGAAATATTTTTCATTTTTAAAATGCATTTTAAACCTTAGCTACCGTGTTTCTGTGACAATCCCTAGTTTTATATGTAATCGTTAGAATGTATGACATTTTTGTCTCCTAGTTTTTTCTACATTATTTACATTATTCGGACTATTGTCCTCATCTTTGTCGTCATATTTATCATAACGTTTCGGCCGTTGTACACTCCGGCCTTCTTCAGGTGGTTGGAATGTCGAACTGAACCCTTTATTTCGCTCACTGGGGTTGACTGTTCTAGTTCCCCGTGCCATGTTTGATGGATGTCAGTTATCAGTTATCTCCTGTTAATTTCCCTCTGAAAGTTCTGCACTTTACCAACATCTTTATCCATTGTGCCATGTGTCCTCAAGGACACATGGCACAATGGATAAAGGCGTTGGTTAGATCCAGTGACAGGACCCAAAGTGTGTGAGTTCAATACCCAGTTAAGGCAGTGGAGAACTTTCAGAGGGAAATTAACTGATAACTGACATCCATCAAACATGGCACGTGGAACTAGAACAGTCTACCCCAGTGAGCGAAATAAAGGGTTCAGTTCGACATTCCAACCACCTGAAGATGGCCGAAGCGTACAACGTCCGAAACGTTGTGATAAATATGGCGACAAAGATGAGGACAATAGTCCGAATAATGTAAATAATGTACATAATACCTCATATCAGAAATATAGATAGTTTTTTCTAATCATTACAGTGAAAGTTTTAACGCATTTTTCAAATGAAATTTTCTTTCTACACAACGTGTTCCATTATCGACTAATAAAAAATCTTTTTGAACTGTTTCTTTCCGTCTTCTTTAAAATCTGTGTCTTCGCTGAATGCCTATATTCACAAATACATTCGGCAGTCCTCGGAGAAAATCTAAAATCATGAATAAAAATTCTCTATGCATCTCAGAAATAATTTTTCATGTAAATTAATTTTATTCCAACGGGAAATGAAGATTGCCCTGTTAGTCGTGCCTTGAAAGTGAATCAATTGTCCTTACAATTTCACGATTTCTTTTTTGTTTCATAATTCATTCGATTTCTCTGTTTCGCCATAAAGACAATCTGCTTATTTTAGGCAGAAAATATTATTCTTATCCTCATCGAAGTGGAAAAACGCTCCAGAACTTTCCAGAGTTTTTTCACTGGCAGTACACTTAAAAAATAGTTTTTCCTACGTATAAAGCTTTATTCGCCACGCCAAATATATAATACGAAATGTATTTAAAAGAAATAATTCAATAAAAAAAAATCAGCTTATTCGCTCCGGTTAATTTAAATTAGTTTTTGAAATACAACAAAGTCTTTTGCTTATTGGAAATATTAAATTTAATCTATTAGCTTAAAATTAAAACTAAAGTAAAAGCTTCAAAGCTTTTAATCTGGTATGGGCGGATAATTGGTTATCATGAGATTAACTGTTTCTTTATAAGGAAACATCCGGCTTTCATTGAACGAACTTTTAGCGTTAATGCCGGTTGGAATTCTTAAAATCTCTTTATTAAAACATTTTATTCAGGAAAAAAGTTTCCTTAAGTTCACCGCTATCACTCTTTTAAGTAATTTTGGAGATTTCCTTCCTAACCTTTTGTTTAAAATCGTGTGGAAAGTTAACCTCATGATTATGACATTATTTTCTTTTCGTCTTACATTTGCTATCCATTTTAATTGTTGCAGCTGTTGAAAGTCATTACGTGATGGAGTTTCTGTTATTTGCTAAAGTTCTTTGTCTCCGATTTTGTAGCGCCAGCCTAGAAAATTTGAAGAAGTACTGTCTTTAGGATTTAGAGGGTTCATTTGCCTGAAACCATTTTAATCATTGATTTGAGAAAAAGCTGCATAGCTGATAGTTTAGACATTTCTGAGTGAGTTAGCTACCATCCACTGTAACCACACGAGAGTCTAGATTTGATTGATTGATTTGTTTTTTTTTTAAGGTTTATCAACCTTTGTAGGTTATTTAAAGCCTAAAAATATTTTTAAATTGTAAGAATAATCCTTTTCTTTTTGTCAGTGAATATTAAGCTGACAATTTTGGGAGTATAATAATGATTTTCAGATACAACTCTAACTATTTAACCCATAGATGGAGGGCGAAGATGTGGGTTTGATCGACTGATAGATTGATTTATTTTCTAAGGCTTATCAATCTTTTACTGATTATTTGAAGCCAAAACATATTTTCAGATTAAGAATTTTTAAAGATATTAATGATTTACTGATATAAATCACACTAATTCCGTCCTGGGTATGACGATAAACTGCACCGCGCCCTGGGTAAGACTATAAACTACGTCCAACAGCAAGGCCTCTGATCAGGAGGTGTTGAGGAACGTGGAACCACCTCTTATTGGCTGTTTTCCAAGGTCCATCCTGACTCGGGGTGGTAGAACCTGTTAGGGTCCCAGCTATGGACAAATAATTTACCTCGAAACTGAGATCAAAATACTATGAAAGTGTAAAAATGGGTTTTAATAGCAGAAATAGTTTGCAATATATATATATATATATATATATATATATTTTACCAGCAATATTTACAACAATACATTTTTGGAAAAAAAATTTTCGGCATTAAATAACCCATTGTGGTTGACATGCCGTAGAACAAACCAAACCAACTAATTAACCCGTAGCTAGAAGCAGAAGAGGTGGATTCATGCCTTTCGCAATTATATTTGCGCGTAAGTGAATATGACTAACCCAACTGGAATTAGAACTCGACTCTCTGATTTCCAATTCCGAACCGTTATCCATTACACCACCCACACATCCAAACTTACGGCATCTCGTATTCCCAAGTAGTCATCCATCTAGGGTGGCGTAATATAGCCGTAAACCACTCCACTGTCATTATGATAACGTTTCGGCCGTCTTGCCCTCCACCTTGATACAATTGCAAAAGGCATGAAAGCATTTTCCTGCCACTGTGGATTAAATAGCAAGGGAGACTAAGCTACCTTGACCTGTGTGTCAGCCAATTTCGGAAAACTATGAATGCACATTTTTGTAAATAGTAGGGCAGATTGTGTACGCTAACCTTGATAGAGCAATCAGTGCAGGAGGAGGAAAACTCTAAATTCAAACTCTTGTAAATAATAGCGAAGACTCGAATCTTTCGCCTTGGGAGTGAAACCAGTCTAGGAGAAAAAAAATCTAAATGCAAACTTGAAAATATTATAGGAAATAAGTTATAGCGCAACTAGTCTAGGAGAAGGATTGATTGATCGATTCGTTTTTTAAGGTTTACCAACCTTTTGCAGGTTATCTAAAACCAGAAAAATACTTTTAGATTGTAAGTTTATTTTGCAAGTCTTACTAATTAACCCATAGATTGGGGAGTAGGAAGAAGAAGTAGATTCATACCTTTCTTAATGGTATTTGCGTGTAAGTATAACGAACCTGACTGAAAGTGGAACTCGGCTCTCCGATTTCTAATCCCGAGCTATCATCCACTACACCACCTGCACATCCAAACTTGCAGCGCACGGGATTCTCAAGCGGTCGCCCATGTAGGTACAAACCAGGCTCAACGTTGCTTAACTTCAGTGATCGTACGACAACCGGTGTTCGAGTTCTTGGTTTAATGGTTTGGTTTTGTCGTATACCGTTGAACAAAACTTCCCTTCGTTCCGCCTGTTTGATGTTCGATTTCTTTATCTCCGCTACTAAATTTGTTAGAACTGATCCGAAGTATTTGAAGTGTTTAGAGTTCATTAATATTACTGAAATGTCACGGGACACCACTTTGGAAATATCCGATCTAGGCTTTAGAAAGAAAATATACAAATATGTACACCCTACTAGATAAAACTTCCCAAATATAATCAACTACACTAAAAGGTCGCAAGTAAGTTAGTGCTATTTATGTTTAACTGACTTTATTTATGAACACGTCTTGAAACAAACAAAAAAGAAAAATCTGTAACAATTTAACTGGCAATCGTCATTTTATACTTTCCTGTCTACATATAAATCACTGTCTACTAAAAAAAAAAAAAAAAAAAACCCAAACAAAAAAAATGTAACACTTTAGCTGGCTATAGTCATTTTCTTCTTTACTGTCCACATAAATCACCGCTTACAACAAAAAAATATAATAATTTAGCTGGCAATAGTCATTTTATTCATTAGTGGCCACAAATAAATCACCGATTACAAAAAACAAAAACAAAAAAACAAAAACAAAAAAAAAAGCAAAAAAAAAAAAAGCAAAAAAAAAAAAAAAAAGAAAACTAAAAATGTAATAATTTAGCTGGCGAAAGTCATTTTATTCTTTACTGTCCATATATAAATCGCTTTTTACAAAAGACACACAAAAAAAAAAACAACAAAAAAGTAACACTTTAGCTGGCAGTAGTCATTTTACCCTACCTGTCCACATTAAATCACTGCCTACAAAAAAAAAAAAAAAAATTTTTTGAAAAGTAACACTTTAGCTGGCGTTAGTTATTTGATTCTTTCCTATCCACATATAAATCATTTTTTGCAAAAAAAACCAACCCCCTCCCCCCAAAAAACAACATATGCTAGCGGATTTTATATACCAGACTGGGTTGCGAGACTCACACCTTCGTCTAATATGTGAATCTTACATTCTTCGACGGCGATGTGTGAGAGCCTACTAAATTAATCTCCCGGGCAGTTGTTTTATATATATATATATATATACTTCTGTTTTTATTACTTCAATCGTTATTTTTAGTGGATACTCATATTTAAGTGTTGGTTTTGTCTACCGGTTTGAGCACTCGGGAAAATTCAATGGAGTGCGCAGGCCAACAGATGAAATAAACACTGTTTAAATAAACGGAGCGTCTACTCAAATAAGGATATACCTTCAAAATAACATTTGAAGTAAGAAAGACAGATAAGTAATAAAATATGTTGGATTAGAAAGAATAAAATACCCATCCGTCCAACATTCTTGCTCCCACGTTTGTAATAACGGATGCAAGTGTGAGGGTAGCAGCTTCTTCATTCAGCCGCTAGGGCTGACCCCAGTTAACTACCTTTAATGGTACGGTAGGAATTGCATGCAATGTCTATTCCATCTTCGTAATATAGTACGAACGAAAAATATGTAATAGATGACGAGGTTTCACGTAATAAAAATTCATGCCAATATTACGGTATTCAATAGTTGAGGATGCGAATGTGGATAAGCAATTGAAAGGAAGACGATAGAAATATTAGTAAAAAAATAATAATGGTTGTCATGGTCGGGAGAAAGACTGTGTTGTGTCAATCCTAGCAGTAGAAAAAATGTTTTCTGACACGACCAAATAATGATTCAACGTACTGTTGTTTACCAGGGCTCGAAACTGCAAAACTCCAAAGCATTCCCTGTTAGTGGGTGCTATTTAATTTCCCTTATAAACGATGATAACTTTAAATAGATTGGAGTTACGTCCCTTGTCCGCTACTTGGACCATGGCACTTCTGAATTCAACATGGTGATAAGCTGAGATGCACGTGTAACTCAGAGTTTAAATTCAAACAATCTTTGCTGTTCTCAGGCAGTAAATGAATAAGTTATTTCATTATGTGTTAAAATCTACTTCTCTTTTATTTTCATCCGTTTTTGTTCATCCCAACAACCTAGGATATAGCAAGGCCCCTTCAGAATATTTTTTAAATTATTTGTCTGCCAATTCAAGCTCAAAGAATTACTGAATGGGGTTGTTTTAATGACTCAAGAGAAGGAAATAATAAGATAGGTAGGATAGATATCTGTTGATCTTAGATTTGAAGGGGTTAAGATTACAGTGATCGGGAATTATACTTATTTACCATTCTTACTACAGCCTCCCATAATACCTCAATGTCTCTATGAAGTTCTAACTAGTTCCCATGTGTACAATTTCTCTTTGTGGCGTGGGGAATAAAAAAAGCAATTTTAAAAAAACGAAACCGCAAGGAAAGTCCATCAGAACAATTACCATGAATGTATTTATAGAAAAGGCAAAGGGAAGCTGCGTTACGAGATGCCAGATCAGGACCAATGACATTGTGGAATACTCCATCTTTGGTTGGATTTGACTCTTGTAAAGATAGAACACGACAGTATGAGTTAAGTATATTCTGGGGAGATTCCCACCACTTTTCCCGTATCTTTAGCGATGGTATGAATATAAAAGTTCCACTAGACGTTTGGGATGAACTTTCGTCCCAATAGACATTCGAGTCTGGTGCGTCGTTGAGAGTAAAACAGCATTTTTGCGGTTGGCTACTTTTGCCTGAAATCATCCAAGTGATGCTAATTTCACAAGTCATGGGGCAAAACTGGTCTGTATAGGTCTGAAGCCGCGAGAATTCGAACAGGAACTCTACCGGACAGCAACTAAGCCGTTGTTTAAATAAGAAAATCGAAGAATTCAAGTATCATATTTCACACCAATTCCTAAAATCATACGGTTTTAAATATTCATGATTTATTTTGGGAGATTTGAAGCCTGGATTTACACGAATTCAGCATTCTCATTTACTTAAAAAAAAAAAAAACCGTACCCCCAACACCACCACAGACTGAACTCCTACAATTCATCGACTAGATCAGCGTTTCACAATCGGGGTTTCCTGAACCCTAAGATTTCCGCAAAAGGTCCCTTAGGGTTACGCGGGAAATTTATCAAATGGCTCTGAAAGTACCATTTTCTTAGCCCATTTATTGGTTCACAGAACATTTTACCTTGATTTAGCTTATGTCTTTTCAACATTGCTAGTAAAGTATAAAAAAAAACAAAAAACAAAAAACAAACTGATGCAGCAATTATCTGTTTTCGTTCTGTTTACATTTATATTATAAGTATATTATAAGTATATTATAAGTATATTATATTGGTTACTTATGCTTATAATTTTACGTTTGAGTTTAGAATTTTTTGCGTGAATGAAAACATCCTGATGACGTATTATAAACGAACAGTATGAATTTTATTTAGCATTATCGAAAAATTTGACAAAGAAGAATTACTTTTTCCTTAAACCAGTTATTCAAAAATATATACTTTGATATTTACCACGTGAACTACGATAAAATTAAAATGAGAAAGATATGGTATAGAATTTTGTTTTTTGCGCACGGATTCCTTGAGACATGTAATTTATTTTAAGGGTTATGCAATGGTAAAAAGATTGAAAAACGCTGTGCTAGATGATGTGTTTGGCTAAAAAAAATGAATTCCTCTAAAACAGGAAATGTGGTTAAAATTCCGATAACGATTCAACAAATATTGTTGGATCGTTTGCTAAAATCTACACTTAATAATAGAACCCTTTTCGTCAGTTAATAATAGAATCCATTTCTACTTCACTTGATAATAGAATTCCTTTCCTCTTCAATTAATAATAGAATCCTGTTCCACTTCATTTAATAATATAATCCCTTTCCTCTTCATTTAATCATCGAATCCCTTTCCTTTAATTAATAGAATACCTTTCGTCTTCACTTAATGATAGAATCCCGTTCCTCGTCACTTAATAATAGAATTTCTTTCCTCTTCATTAATTAATATAACCCCGTTCCTCTTCATTTAATAATAGAATTCCTTTCCTCTTCAATTAATTTTAGAATCCCTTTCTTCTTCACCAAATAATAGAATGCCTTTCCTCTTCTATTATCAATAGAATTCCTTTCCTCTTCACTTGATAATAGAATCCTTTTCCTGTTCATTTAATAATAAAATCCCCTATCTCTTCACTTAATGATAGAATCCTTTTCCTCTTCATTTAATAATACAATCCCTTTCCTCTTCACTTAATGATAAAAAATCCTTTCCTCTTCACTTGATAATAGAAAGCGTTTACTCTTCATTTCATAATAGAATTCCGTCCCTCTTTATTTAATAATAGAATCCATTTCTTCTTCAATTAATAAAACAATCCCTTTCCTCTACAATTAAGAATAGAATCCCGTCCCTCTACATTTAATAATCTAATCCCTTTCCTCTTCAATTACTAATAGAATCCTGTTCCTCTTCATTTAATAGTATAATCCTTTTCTTCAATTAATAATAGAATCCTTTCGTCTTCATTTAAGAATAAAATCTCTTTCCCCTTCACTTAATAATAGAACCCATTTCCTCTTCACTTAATAGAATCCCTTTCCTAGTCTAGTTGTAGGGCCACTGTATAGCTGAGAAGCTGACCAGTTCTCTCTGCATATATAGGCTGAAAGCCGGGGAGGAATTCATTCATATGTACTGCGTCTTGGGCAAGTATGGCTGGTGGATCCCATCCCTCTTCGGATCGTCTTCGACATATTCTAATGTTTAGCAAGCTTGATTCGCTAGAACAATTATCACTGGGTAGTAAGTTCAATCCTCACTGGCTGCCGCACACTTTCGACATTGTGCCACGTCTAATCTACGTTTAGAAAATAATTTGAGCACCTTGACGTGGTGTGATGCTTAGCAAACTTCTATCGCGAGAACATTTACGAGTTCGCTCAGAAAATCGCTATATATAAATTTCCAAATTTTTTTAGAAAATATTTTGCAAGCATAGTCTAGCATGAAGTCACAAGTGCGGGTAGAAATCACTTGATTAGTATTCATTTTCTAGACTAGTAGCAA